TTTCCATGGTCTCTGTCAGAAGGAGGTGGAGGAAAACTGTATCAAGCATAATGTAGCCTTCAAAGTGCAAGACACTCCAGGGATTATCCTGTATTTCTTATCCATCCTCATCTTGGAGGTCTTAGCTACCAGCTGAAATTAAGCACACAAAATCTAAGGTCAGGTACACTATATGGAGAATAGGAGTACTTGTGGCACCTTAGAGTCTAACAAATTTATTTGAGCATAAGCTTTCGTGAGCTACAGCTCACTTCATCAGATGCATGCAGTGGAAAATACAGTGGGGAGATTTATATACACAGAGAACATGAAACAATGGGTGTTACCATACACACTGTAACCAGAGTGATCCCGTAAGGGGAGGGGGGAATGGACCTTTTGTAGTGATAATCAAGCTGGGCCATTTCCAGCAGTTGACAAGAACATATGAGGAACAGTGTTTGTGTGTGTGGGGGGAGATAAACAGGGGGAAATAGTTTTACTTTGTGTAATGACACATCCACTCTCAGTCTTTATTCAAGCCTAAGTTAATTGTATCCAGTTTGCAAATTAATTCCAATTCAGCAGCCTCTCGTTGGAGTCTGTTTTTGAAGTTTTTTTGTTGAAGAATTGCCACTTTTAGGTCTGTAATTGAGTGACCAAAGAGATTGAAGTGTTCTCCGACTGGTTTTTGAATGTTATAATTCTTGATGTCTGATTTGTGTCCATTTATTATTTTATTCTTTTATTGTCCAGTTTGACCAATGTACATGGCAGAGGGGCATTGCTGGCACATGATGGCATATATCACATTGGTAGATGCGTAGGTGAATGAGCCTCTGATAGCGTGACTGATGTGATTAGGCCCTATGATGGTGTCCCCTGAATAGATATGTGGACACAGTTGGCAATGGGCTTTGTTACAAGGATCGGTTCCTGGGTTAGTGGTTCTGTTGTGTGGTGTGTGGTTGCTGGTGAGTATTTGCTTCAAGTTGGGGGGCTGCCTATAAGCAAGGACTGGCCTGTCTCCCAAGATCTGTGAGAGTGATGGATAGGTTAGGTTCAGGATAGGTTGTAGATCCTTGATGATGCACTGGAGAGGTTTTAGTTGGGGGCTGAAGGTGACGGCTAGTGGCGTTCAGTTATTTTCTTTGTTAGGCCTGTCCTGTAGTAGGTAACTTCTGGGTACTCTTCTGGCTCTGTCAATCTGTTTCTTCACTTCAGCAGGTGAGGATTGTAGTTGTAAGAATGCTTGATAGAGATCTTGTAGGTGTTTGTCTCTGTCTGAGGGGTTGGAGCAAATGCGGTTGTATCGTAGAGCTTGGCTGTAGACAATGGATCGTGTGGCATGGTCTGGATGAAAGCTGGAGGCATGTAGGTAAGCATAGCGGTCAGTAGGTTTCCAGTATAGATTGGTGTTGATGTGACCATCGCTTATTAGCACCGTAGTGTCCAGGAAGTGGATCTCTTGTGTGGACTGGTCCAGGCTGAGGTTGATGGTGGGATGGAAATTGTTGAAATCATGGTGGAATTCCTCAAGGGCTTCTTTTCCGTGGATCCAGATGATGATGATGTCATCAATGTAGTGCAAGTAGAGTAGGGGCATTAGGGGACGAGAGCTGAGGAAGCGTTGTTCTAAGTCAGCCATAAAAATGTTGGCATACTGTGGGGCCATGCGGGTACCCATAGCAGTGCCGCTGATTTGAAGGTATACATTGTCCCCAAATTTGAAATAGTTATGGGTGAGGACAAAGTCACAAAGTTCAGCCACCAGGTTTGCCGTGACATTATCGGGGATACTGTTCCTGATGGCCTGTAGTCCATCTTTGTGTGGAATGTTGGTGTAGAGGGCTTCTACATCCATAGTGGCTAGGATGGTGTTTTCAGGAAGATCACTGATGGATTGTAGTTTCCTCAAGAAGTCAGTGGTGTCTCTAAGATAGCTGGGAGTGCTGGTAGCATAGGGCCTGAGGAGAATACTTATTTTAAAATGGCTTCTTTGCAACAAAAAATGTTTTTGACCTATCTAAAAAAAAATCAGATTTTTGAAATTTACACATCGATACACTTCTTAACCACAGCAAGGTCTGACCTATAGGCAGCCACTTCAATTTCTTAATTAACAATTAGGTCTGATTATTTCTCTTTATGCTGGGATTTTATTCTATTTTATGTAGATCCTTCTACTGCCTTCCTCACCATAGTATCAAAGCACCTTTCAGTAGTGCATTAAGCAATGTTACTAACATCTGAAGTGGTTGCATATGTTTGTGCTGGATGATATGCATGCTGAAATAGAGCTGGATGAATCCTATGCTTTCTATAAATTGTTGAGCTGTTCTTTGATTGGATTTCATTGGGTTTTTTTACTATTTGGGCTGGTAGCTGTGGTACATGAATAACCTCAACTGTTACAGAGAATAATGTTTTTGTGTTGGAAAATGTTTATAAAACTCTTCATAGCTTATTGTCTTCTGCTATCCAGTAGCTTTGAAAACTCATTTACTGCTCTAGTAATGACGACATATTGTAGGACACCTGGTTGTTGATCCAGGTCCTTGTGATATTGCCACTTAGAGTTGCCAGTTGCCTGGTTTTTAACATGAATGTTGCTAAAAAGTTGCTTTTTGCTTTCTATTGTTGGTTTAAAGTTTCCAGACCAGTGGTGAGCTGGAGCCGGTTTGCGCGAACTGGTTGTTAAATTTTGAAGCTGGTTTAGAACTGGTTGTTAAAGGGGTGGGCAAACTCCAGCCCGCGGGCCACATTTGGCCCGCAGGACTGTCCTGTCCGGCCTGCCTGAGCTCCCAGCTGGGGAGGCTCCCCTGGCTGAGAATCCCTTTTTAATTTTTACTCACCTGGTGGCACTTTGGCAGCGGGTCCTTCACTCGCTCTGGGTCTTCAGTGGCACTTCGGCGGCACGTCCTTCAGTGCCGCTGAAGACCTGGAGCGACTGAAGGAACGAGTTCTTCAGATTTTGGCAGCTCATCACTGGATATAACCGCAAATTTCCACCAAAGATAATTAGCCATTTCCATTCTTAAACATCCTATGGAGACGCGTGTACATCTTAGCTTTCAACTAACTCTTCTCTCGGATTTCCAGTAGCCCCATAACCTCACCATTTTGTAATGTGGTTATACTGTTTGGCAAATTTGTCAACATGTAGCTCTTTGTAAGTGAATACAGAACTTTGCCAAGGATTGCCCAAATGTAAGATTTATAGGTCTGACAAATGGTTGTAATATATAGATGATGAGCTCATTCTTGCTGGATTTGTTCTTTGTTGTTATTATGACTTTGGATCTGGCTGCTGAAAGCCTCCAATCATCCAAATACAGTTGTTCATGTTGTACATAATAGAGTGCAAATATGTGAGAGCAGACAGGAGTTAAATGGATGGCTAAAAGTGAGGATGGTTCTTTCACATGCATGAGCCTGTAAGTAAAACTCATGGAGCACATGAAAGAAGGATTGTTCCATGGGCAAATGTCTTTTAAGGAAAACAGGCATTTCTCATGGAAGAATAAACCCCTGGGTTGACCTTCTTAAAGCAGACTAGCCTAATTAGAATATTTTTCCATTAAAATTAATAGAAGATGTATCTAAATCTGAATCATGGTCAGAGAGATGAAAAGTGTCTGGTCACCTGCTCACATACAGTTCATCAGAATAGAATGATCTGTGCTAGAAGTTTGTATGCTGCACAATTAGGCTCACACTTAGTATGCACCTGAGGAACTAAGAGGGAGAGAAGAGAGAATAAATATCCAAAGATTGATACAAATGACAACTATTGGAATTGATTGTGGGAACACAGTGTTTACTGAAATAACATTGACTTGGTGCTACTGAGGAGGCTATTAGTGTTGAGACAAGTGACTCTGGCTGCATATGCTATTTAACCAAAGAATGGTCCGTTCTAGAAGGCAATGTAATAGGCTTCATGTGAAAAAAAGGGAAAATCCTGGAAGACCCAAGATAGCATGGTAAAAGCGTGTAGGGGAAAACAGAATTAGAAGTTTGACGCCATCGGGCAGTGGGCATGGGACCCTAGAGGAAAGTTGTGCAAAATAATATATGAAAGCTGAAATTCACTTACAAGAGAAGTATGCTAGCATGCAAAGGCAGCACATAAAATGAACGGTATTTGTATCAGAAAAAAGGAGCCAGCTATAGTATACTATCTGAGAATGAGGCATATCTTTCTTGTTCGTGACAATGAAGTTATTCTGAGTGCATATTTATTGCTGCAGATGGCACTGTTTTTATGTGATACTTTAGATTAGGCTCAGATTGATAACCAGAAAATCTCGAGTACTTCACACACCTTAAAATGAATCTTAAAATTTCTTTAAATATTAATGCCTTCCTTCTAAGGTGAAAGATGACAGTACAGACAAGGATTTAATGGACTGATTTTATATTAAAAAGAGAGAAATAGAATATGAATCCCAAATCTGTTGTTCATCCTACATTTTTAATTACTCCTCCTAGCAGTATGTTTCATCTCTGAAACCTGGTCAAAATTCAGTGCATGCATATCTGCATCACGTGGACAAAGCAGAACGATTCCAAAATTTTGCAACGCTTGTCCACTACCTTTTGTGATACAGTCAAAGGTGGAGGCAGAAGATCAGCACTTAAAGGACTCGAATTATATCCAAGATTAACTGGAGCAAATGGAATGCTGCCATAGTGCCAGTAATGAAAAAGAGTGGGGATGTCTGTATCTGTGGTGACTGGCCAAGGTTACCATTAACTCAGCATTACATCCAGATCAGTATCCTTTACCCAGAATAGAAGATATAGTTGCCTCCTTAGCTCATGGCAAGCATTTCTCCAAGACCAACCTGGCCCAAGACTATCTACAAATGGAAATATGAGACAGTGAGGGCCATTAGAGGGCTCACAAACTATTTAAAGGGTTACTCCCAATTCCTATGCACTATGTGGGGAAACTAGCAGGAACTTTTCTCAACCCCAAAGTAAATTTTTTTTTTCATGTTTTTCTCTTGTTCTAGGTATTTACTTTGTAATGAGAATTCACAGTAGCTTGAATTTGGCTTGAACATTAGCAGATGTCTGCACTGGATCAAGTGATGCATGGTAAGTTGGCCATTGAGTCAATGTTGTTTTAATACCTCCCTGTGGGAGGTAACTGCTGTCTTAATACCCTTGGGTAGTTTGCGCTTCCAACTCCATTGTTAGCTATTTGCAACTCCATGGTTTATCTTAACAAGGATGGTACATCTGCTGTAGGCTTTTATGTTGTATACAGGCACAATAAATTATACTAAAAGATCAGAGAGTGGGTGCAAAGATCACACGCAGGTCAGTACCTGGATGGGAGACGACAAAGAAACACCTGTGTACTGCAGGAATTAGTGTCCGGGCCAGTAGATGGCATTGTTCCTTCTAAATCTGCATGGAACTAATGCTTTTCATGTTCAATAACCATGCTGTTGGGGGTTGTGGTGAGTAACAGTCTTGCTAGAGGTGTCACTTTTTTGGCTGAGACATAAAACAAAGGCATTGTCACATGAGCGAATCTGAGTCGATTTATGGTTTTAAGTAGAATCATGGGTCAATATTTGCAGTGAAAACCACAGGCCGACTTAGACGAAAGGCTTGAGAACATTTTGATTCAAACCTATTCATTAGAACCAAAAGTAGAGTGAACAGACATCCTGGTTTTAAAGGGACAGTACTGTATTTAAGCCCTCAGGTGTCCTGACTTTTTCTTAAAAATGGGCTAATTGTCCCGTATTTTCTGTCTTCCCCTCCATCAGTACTGGCGGGTCCTGCTGCTGGTGGATCCCTGCTCACCAGCCACCCGCCCACTAGTGGTGAGTTGGGGGGGTCCAGAGGCCAGCGATGGGGCTGGGTGTGCAAGACTGGTGGTGGGGCGAACACGCAGCTCACGAGGCCGGCCGCTCCCCCGCTGGTCTGTCAGTGCAGCCCACACTGCATGCCAGCTCTCAGCCGGCAGGGCTCCGCCACCTGTCCTGTTTCCACCTGACACTGGCTGCGTGCTGCAAGCTGAGGTGGCTGGTCAGTGCGGGCAGATGTCAGGTAGCGACCAGTTACATGTCACCTGTGCTGCCCACCCATCGGCCCTTTATGTGCTTCCTCTCTGGCTGTCCTCTCCCTGCTTTGTCCCTTCACCCCACAGCCCTGCTGTTCCTCCATATTTCCCGCAGCAGGGCGCGCCCTGCTCCCAGCGCTGTGTGGAGAACCAGCCCCTGGTTGGAGTGCTCGGCTCACCAACAGCCTGGCTGGCAGGCTCTTTCCTTCCCTCACTGCCTCTGGTTGGGCCGGTCCCCCGGGCTTTGCACAGCGCTGGCATGGGGAAGCTAAGCTCTGGAGTGATGGAGGAGGGGAGCAATGTCCCGTCTGTTTGCACCCCGAACTTGCAGGCTCCACAGCAGCCGCCGGGGCAGGAGCTTAGCACCCTCTTCACCTGCCTCCCATCTCGGTCGTTCCCCCAGGAAGCACGTTCCCTAGGCACCCTCCTCTGCTGAGCCACCTCTCTGGCCGGTTTCACTGAAGTCAGTGTTCCTGCAGTCAGGTTCCTTGGGCCCTGGTGCACAATGCATCCTTAGGGCTTAACCCCTTGCTGCCTGCGATGTAGCCCAGGGACAGGAGGAGGCTGGGCTATATTGGTTGCTAGCAGCAGCCTGAAGGTGTTAGCTGCCTTTTCTCTCTGTGAGGGCAGGAAGGGACAAGTTGCTTCCAGCCACATGGGAGCGGTGAGGAGGGGAAGAGATGAGCTCTGCTAAGACACAGGCCAGGTCATCCCTTCCCCCTTTTCTCCTCCCCTGCAGCTGGAAGCAGCTCCCATCCCTTCCCTCCCAATGTCGAAAGGATGCTGCAGGCCACATTCTGGCAGAAATTGGGGGGGCATGTGACCCTGCATGTTCTTTCCCCCCCACCCCAAATGTGTTGCCTCAGGAAGATGTGGTACCAGGAGGGGCAGGTCCATCCTGGAGGCCCAGCCAGGCATGGAGGGCGGAGAGCCCTAGGCAGGGAGGGTTGGGTTGGTCGGTTACCTCCCCTGTGTGACAGAGGAGGGTGTGTGTGTGTGTGTGTCACCCCTCCCCGTATGAACCCTAAAGCCTTAAAGATAAGAGAGTAAATAAAAAGAATCCAACTAGGCAGTATTTCTTTTTCACAAGGGCTCACTAAACTTGATGTTAATTTGAACGTTTGTACTATTGATTGCTGTTGAACTTGCTTGAATATGAGTAATTTTACCAGGTGTCCTGTATTCAGCACAGGAAAATATGGTCACCCTAATCAAAAGTAAAACACAAAACTGCTGCGTTTCCCTTGGTTTTGTGAAGAGCTTGAATCCAGGTGATACGTCAAATTTCAGTCTATCATCAACACACTAATATTTGGAGAGCTGCATGCATCTGTGTGAACTGAAACAAAAAGTAATGTTGGCATGAGCCCATGTAAATAAAGTTAAACTGCCAGTTCTGCAACAGCTTTAGTATCAGCCATGGTGTCCTGGCCAACCTGCCCACTTAAAATTCACCCGGAGTTTCAGCTGAAATACAGTATACTTCGCTTTTAATTGTAGGGCAGCGCCATGCACTGTTAAACGGAAGCTGTTTCAACCCCAGAGGTGACTTCATTTTGGTGATCTATGAAGTAGTTGACCATTGGGATCCTTCAGGTTTAAATGCTGTATAAGTATAAGGTGGTGGTGTGTTCAGGCTCCAGAAATCTAGTGAGAATGAACAAATGCACATTAAATATTGATGTGTTTTGCAGACTTTACTTCTAACTCTTTCATTCTCTCCTCTTTTTCCTCCCCCCAACTTTAATACTCTCTAGGTTACTAATACTAGTACACAGGTCCTTACTGTGTCCTAGTACTGAAGTCCTTACTCAGGTAGTGCACTCCTGAAACATATTTTCAGTTTTGACAAAATAAAGACTTTAGGATTGGGTCCAATAATGTTTTTGTTTTGTGGGCGGAGGGTGAGTGTGCATGATACTAACACAATAAAACTTATATTATGCTTATATATTGTATATGTCAAGTTTTGCTACAGTGGCTCAAAAAAAATACTGTTTCCAGTGGTATGTGATGTATTGGGAATTTCTTCAGAAATATAAGCACATGTTAGTTGCAGACATGACCATCTGCATTAGTATCTGTGAAGGAATGTTTGTATAGGTCTGTAGTGGTCATTAAAGGGTCAACATTTATCGACAATTGGGACAGTTTCTATTCTAAATGTAGAGGAAAAACAATGATGATTTCAGTTACCATTAGGTAGTGATTGTTTTCAGAAGCTGACCTTTCATTAGTGGTCGTTGTCCATGAAAGTAAAATCTGCAGTTACAGTAAAATCTGCAGTCTGAGCAGAACATGTATTTTTAGTTCAAAGCTGTTGGAGCAAAACATCCTATGGAAATTGCTTTTTGCTTGAGCAAGCAAAAACAACTCACAAACAAAACCCCCAAAACAAACAAAAAAAGCCTTTATTGTTTTCTCCATGAAACAGGAAGATTGGGTTATACTTAATGGGTCACCTCAGATGTGGAATTTTTTCACTGCTGAATAATCTATTTAGTTCATTACCCTTTGAAACATTGCGAGAGTCTGGAAAAAAATCTTAATATTCTGTGGGTTCAGGATAAGCGCTAACGAAAATTTAAATTAAAAAAATAAAGCACTCTCGACTATTGAAATTAGTTTTCATCAAGTCCAGTCATGTTTGAACATGAATGAGATTTTCTAAGTGTGTGGTTGTCATTAGATATTGGCCTATATTCTTTTCCATTCATATTCTTACACTATACCATTCCTGTGCTGTCTGAATGCTCTGCATCCATATGCTCCTGAACTTAGGGACAGTTTGGGATCAAATGGACTGAGACCCATCTCTGGTTGATTATGCCATTACAAGGCTCTCTTACATTTCAGGCTTCTAGGGCTAGATTCAGAAGGGGAACTTAGATGTTGCCAGGCTCAGCTTTGTTGCAGTTAACTTTCGGGAGCTCTGCCACTAGTAGTATTCACAACCCCAAATGAGGCATCTGGGTTCCCTACACAAAGCGTGGGGAGAGTTAGGTGCCTAAAAAAGGGATTCATAGAAGTCAGCACATTGAGCAGGGACCTGCTTAAGCTAACCAGTAAGAAAAGTGGACAGAGTGGTATGACAGAAGTCGCACACTTCAAAGGGAGTGAGGCACCTACCTCTGCTCAGGATTCAAAGTCATGAACATTCTCTTGAAGTTAATGAGTAAGCCAGTCCTTTCTCAGGAAAAACGGAAGAGGAGGAGATGGTGCCTTCTTAATACTCAATCATGCAGTGATTAGAACTCACCCAAGATGTGGGAGATCCTGGAGTCATCCTCTCTCTATCTCTGTCTCAGTGACTATATAAGTATTTCATACAATAGGGAACAGCGACAGCTGGAGAGATTGACAGAGACCCATCTCAGAATACCCTATAGCCCAATGGTTAGGGCATGCAGCTGGGCAATAGAAGACCTGAATTCAAGTCATCTCGCTGAATCAGGCAGCATACGGATTTGAATGCACGTCTTCCACATCACCGGTGAGTGCTCCAGTCATTGGGCTATTGGATAAAAGGGAGGAGTGCATCAGCCCCGCCTCTTCCTTTTGTCATCTTTTGTGTAGGTTAAGCATGCTTTGAGCATGCCTACTGGATTGGGCCCTGCTGGGGACTTTGGAGGGAACTCCTAATTCATGAATCCTCTTGGGTTTAGGTGTGAGATAGGCACCGAGCAGCCTGACATGGACTTATGTGGCTTTTTGTATGCCCGCCGGCAGAAATTTTAGGTTCCTCAGGGATTTTAGTAGTGGAAACCCAGATGCTTCCAGGGTTAGCTGGCAGCAGAGCAATGTGAATGTCAGTAGCACCTAAATGTTGGATTCATGGTACCTAAAACGGCAGTGAGGCATTTAAGTCCCCTTTGTGAATCTAGCTCCTATTGTGTAGGAAGCTTTATTTTTAAACTTTTCTCTTTATTTATTGGCTGTTGAAAGGTAGGTGGTAGAAATGAAAATGTCTCAAGACTTCTCTGACAATTGACCTGGAATCGTCTTCATTATAGTGGAAAGA